AACTTAATTTTGGAACGCAATTTAAATTTCACGTTGCATGTATTGCACAGTAATATCAATACAAAAAAAAAATTTTTAAATAAACATTTAAATAAAATTTTTAAATAAACTTTAAATTTAAAAAAAAATTTTTAATTTTAAAATAAATTTTTTAATAAAATAAAATTTTTAAATTTATTTAAAGAAATCTGTATTATTTTCTAATAGAATTGGAGCAAAACTGAGAAATGTTCTAAGTTTAATGGTTTTTCAACAATTCTTTTTAACAATTTTACTTTTGGGCGCCGTTCTCTATCAATTATCGATAACAGGTTTTTATAATTTTAAATTTTGGACTTCATTAACAGCCTGCAGTAATTTTTTATTTGAAATTTTTCTATTTTGTTACTATGGAGAAGAAATGATGGAAAAGGTTTTTAATTTTCAATTTGAAAAAATGACTAAAATGAATATAATTTTTTCTAAAAATTATAATTATTATAAACAAAAGGGAATATTTTTTAGAGTCGACATGTGGCAGACGTAGTTTATGAGACTGATTGGACTGGTCAAAATATAATTTCCAAAAAGTATTTAATTTTAATAATGATGAGAGCATCTAGACCAATTGAATTAAATGGAATTTCATTAGTGACAATGTCTTTTCCAACGTTCCTTAAGGTTTGATTCTACTATCATTGCAATTATAGAGCGAAATAATGTTTTTTATTTAAACGATTTCAATGCTATTTTTAAAATTATCATCAGACAAACAAAAATTAAATATTGAAAATCAAATAATTTTAAAAGCTGTCAAAAAATTGTATTTTATTTATCCAGCGATCAATAAAGGGCCTATTATTGCCCTAGGTCAATAAAGGGTCTATTATTGCCCTAGGTCAATAAAGTGCCTATTTTTGTCCTAGACCAATAAAGTCCCTATTTTTGCCCTAGGTCAATAAAGGGCCTATTTTTTCCCTAGGGAAATATAGGGTCTATTATTGCCCTAGGGAAATAAAGGGCCTATTATTGCCCTAGGAAAATAAAGTGCCTATTTTTGCCCTAGGTGAATAATAGGCACTTTCTTGACCCAGGGCAGTAATAGGCCTTTTATTCACCTAGGGCAAAAATATGCACTTTATTGACCTAGAGCTATAATGGTCACTTTATTGACCAGCTGGGCTATTTGGAACACTTTAATATCTATGTAAATCGATGTTATGATAATTTTAATAATAAATTTATGGTTTTGTTTTAGATATTAAAAGTGTCTTATACAACTTATAATCTATTATGAACGTCTCGAAAAATTTGATATTATAGCAGGAATTCATAAGTGTAAAAAGTGAGAACTTCTAATTTATCATTGAATTTATAAAATAATAGAGACAAATATTTTATAATGTTAAATTTTTAAAAAGTCTATAAAATAAAATAATATTCCTACTCAAATGTTGCTTTGTTACTATTATTAATTTTGGTGTGAGTCCTTGTGTCTGACGTAAGCGACTGGATATTTTTTGTGCAGTTTTACGACTATATGGCTGACCATATAACAGCTTGAATCACTATAACGATCTCTCTCTCTAAATTTACTGTTACACCCCAGGTATTTTAAGGGATCCCATCAGCACGATTCATTTTTATGATCGTGTCACTGAATTTGATTCGCTTTGACATGAATTCCAATTCCCCAGTAGCTCTAATTGCGATTTGATACTTATTCGCTATTTCCAAATGTCAAACTATAAGTGCACTTTTTATAACAATGAAACTAAAAGCGACCAATTTTGTAGAAAATATTTCTGAAAGTTTTTAACATATTCTCTTGTTTTTATTTTATATCGAAAAAATAGTCACTGATACAGAAAATATTGTTAATGCTTTTATTCAATGTTTAAATGAAAGTCATTTCAATTTTTAATATTAAATTTTCGTTGCTGTTGTTACATTAAAAAATTCTTCATTTTTTAAAAAAAAATAAATAAAATTGTTCATTTTAAAAAAAAAATAAATAAAATTGTTCATTTTTAAAAAAATATAATTAAAATTCTTCATTTGTTAAAAATTATAATTAAAATTTAATTAAAATTCGTTTTTCAAAAAAAAATAATTTTTTAACAGTTATTTTTAAATTTAAAACAAAATAAAGAATTATTTTAACAAGTCGTGTGTAGAAATCGACAAGATATTTCTAACAACAACTTAAATGTAATATATGACCTTTTTATTAAATAAATTGAACATTCGAGTGTATTAATGGAACAATCCTTGTAATAAGTTTAATTCTAAATTTTTTAAAATTCAATTTTTTTCCAAATTTTCAATTATAATTCTTCAAAAAAAAAAAACGATATTTCAAAATAATTTTGAAAATTAAATAAACAAAATTCATTATAATAAAAAATTTAAGTACTTGCATAAAATTTGACAATATTTTCAATTGTTTCAATTTTTAAAAATTATTTTCAAAAATACAGTTATTTTTAAAAAATTTTAATTTCATTTTTTTAAAAAACAAATTTTTTTGGAATTTCTAAATTAAATTACTCAAAACTTCAATACTTTGTGTTAAACAAAAATTTAAATACTCATTCTTATTTATTTTTTTCACAACAATTAAAATTTGAAATAATTTTAATAAAAAACGTTTTGAAATTTAACTATTTATACAAAAATTGCAACTGTAATTTTTTCAAACTTCAATTATTTTTTAAAGAAAAAGTAATGTAAATTATAATTTTTTAAAATGAAAATTTAAATATTTTTATATATTTGCTTTCCTTCAATTTTCAAAGAATTTAAATTAAAAATCTTTTGAAATTTAATTAATTCCTAAAATTGCTGTTACCACGCTTTAAATATTTAATTTTTTCCTAAAATTTTAACAAAATTTTAGAAAATAATGTATTTTTAAAAATATAATTATTATTTATAGATAATTTTTAAAGATAAAAAAATAGAATTCTTTAAAATATAAAATTTATTGTAATAAAATTTTACAAAATTTCCAATTAATACAATTTTTTAAAATCATTTTCGTGAATTCAACCATTTTTAAAAAATTTTAATTACTATTTTTCAAAAACCTAACTTTTTTCAGAATTTCCGAATTAAATCTTTCAAATTTCAGTCATTTTTGTAAACTAAATATTTAAATACTTATTGTTCTTTAATATTTGCTTAAAATTTCGAAATACTTTCAATGTAAAACTATATGAAAAATTTTTTATGAAAATTTGAACTGCATGTCTACCAAAATTAATTAATTAAATTATTATTTACAAGTGAACTTCATTAAAATTATTTTTATCATTTTAATTCAATTATTAATTTCTAGAATTTAAAATTATTTTTATGGAAATAATTTAATTCCTTAAAAAAATTTTAATATTTATGAAAATAATTGAATTCCTGTGAAATTTTTATTATTTATGAAAATAATTGAACTTTAGACGAGAATTTTGTTTGTTTATAAAGATAATTGGAATATTTACGAGAATTTTTTTCAAATTTTGAACATAGTTGAATTTTTTTTTTTTTTTTTGAAAATAATTGAATTTCTGCAAGTATTTGTAATTTCTCCAAAATTGAATTTTTTTAGCGTTGTTAACAAAAATTTAAATTAGAAAATTTTTAAATTGCTAACTTTATTGAAAAAAGGTAGTAAGAAGTTGTTGCTGTTTGAAGTTGACTTCATCTGAGTGAATAATTAATAATAATAAAAAAATATAATAATAATAAAAATAATGATAATAAAAATAATGATAGTAAATTAATAATAATAATAATTGTACAGTATATAAATAATTTGAATTTGTTATTATTTGCTAATATGCAGAATACTTTTATAAAATAATGTTCAGAATATTTTTGATTTAATAAAAATTTACAAACAGAAAATATTCGTTTCACTGAGAGAGAAATAAACATTGTTGAGAAATTCCTGAAAAAGTTTTTAGAGAAAAACGTTGTTTTATAAAGGAAATAATCTGCTTATTACCACATTCGTTGGAATTTTGAATTTTTTTATTTGAGTTCGTATAGAAACTAAATGACGGAAAGTAACTTTCTGAATGACCGCTGTAGACACAATATCATTCATTTAAAGTGCTTGAAAATATATATATATATATATATATATATATATATATATATATATATATATATATATATATATATATATATATATATATATATATATATATATATATGAATGTGGGAGTTGCGAAAACTGGGACATATAATATACACCAAAGACCGGAAGGAGTGTTATTTTGGCATTGATCAGAAATTATAAAGAAAAAAATATGAGGAAACCTTTGTTGCAGTAAACAGAAGTATAAATTTTATTTTTTTCATAAATTCTTTCAACTATTGATTCAGAGAATATAAAGTAAATAATTTTTATTATTATCTGCAATTTTAGCATTGTGTTTTTTTAAATTCTTCGTCTTTGTTAATTACCTATAAGTAAAAATACTTTCTGATAGTTCAGCTAAATATTTTTAAAACATCACTTAACTTTATTTCGCTTTAATTTCTTTCTAAGTTTCTACGATTGTTTTCTACAAATTTCCAAGCATTAAAATTTCCATAAATGATACAGTTCATTTTTTAACAATAATATTTTTTTAAATTCCCATTTTTTTTTGCCTGTTAGGAAAGTATTTTAAAATCAATTTCAAAACGGTCAAATTTTTACAGCCACATGAATGATTCATTTGAAAAAGGAAAAGCAACGGAAGCAACGCAAGATTATTTTCAATATATTGATTGAAATTTTTGCTTTTCTTTTGTATCGAACACTAGGGTATTTAATAAATTTTTATAAAATAGAAAGTCAGTGAGAAAAATAAAAATGAGAATGAAGAAAAAACGGTTAGAACTTGTATTCTTTGACATTTTTGTAAGTTCTAATTAGTCGAGTTTTTTTATTTGTTCTTTAAATTGTTTTCTATAAATTTTGCAATGAATTTGACACTTTTATAGAAAAGTAAGAAAATTCTTTTTTTTTTCAGGGTAAAGATCTACCGGCAAAGGATCTGTCCGGTACGTCTGATCCTTATGTAAGGGTAACGTTGCTACCTAATAAAAAAGATCGTCTCGATACGAAGATGAGAAGGCGAACCTTACATCCTAAATGGAATGAGACCTTGTACTTTGAAGGTAATAAATTTCATTCAATTTTATTCAATTTCACTGTACTGTGTAATTTACAAACCTTTCAATTTAGTACTTTTCTATATTTAATCTCAATGTTGTCTTCTTATGTAAAAAAGAATATTTTTCATACGTGGGGGAATTTTTATTCAAAGAGAGATATTTTAGTACCTTTTTCGATTTTTTTTTCACTTGGAGTGAAGTGAAATCAAAACTTTGATCAAAATTTAAAAATTCAAAATGGCGGCTCCAAAATGGCGACCAACAAAAATTTTAAAGTTTTACGAATCTGTCTGAATTATAAAATCAAAAAGTTTTTAAATAAAGTTATAAAAAATTTTCAATAATAAAAATTAATTGAACTTTTCCAGGTTTCACAATCCAAAAATTGCAAAATAGAGTTTTACATCTACACGTTTTCGATTACGATCGATTTTCACGGGATGACTCTATAGGGGAAGTGTTTATGCCGCTATGTCAGGTAATTTCAAATTATTGACTGATGACTAAACAAGCCTTATTACTTTATAAATGCGATTTTACTACAAAATGCCTCAATTTAATTTCCGATTTAATGGAAATGAAAAAATTAAATCTTAATTTTTTTTTAAATTATTGATATTTAAATATTAAGCTATTTTTTTCATTTGACATTTATATTTTCGCATTTTCGGTTTAATGAGAAACTATTAATAAAATGTGAGAATGAGTATAATCAATAAAAAAAATAAATAAATAAAAATGAGAATCTGAATGAAGTTGATGCTTGGATGCATTTATCGTTATTCAGCCTTCCTTTTCACCCTGATCTGGGATAATTCCTGCCAGTGGCGTTACGACACACATACATTCATTTCCCAAGGGTAAATCACATTGTACATCTCTGGCTTGAATTCCATTAATAGATTCCATAACCGGAAATGTAAAAAAGACTTCTGCTGCTGGTTACGTGAGAAAATCACACGTGTCCATTGCGATTTCTAAATTTGTATTAATTTTCATTCAAAACGCAGTTTTTTGTAAGAAATTTTTTTCAATATTTTAAACCTCTAATAAAAACTAATTTAACATTTTTCATTGAAAAAATAGGTTTTTTGAAGAAGTACGTTACTAAAATAAAATAAAGGTCATTCTAAATTTTTATTTCGAAAAAAATTAATATTTTCTAGGAATATATTGAAATTTTACCAAATTCGTTTTATTACAATAATTGGAAAATGACAATTGATCTTAATATACATATAATTTTGACTTGGAACTGTGAATTGTGTCTAGGTCGACCTTTCAGAGAAACCGACGTTCTGGAGAGCCCTCAAACCGCCGGCAAAGGATAAATGTGGCGAAATTCAGATCGCTCTTTGCTATCACCCTTCTAATTCTCTACTCACCATACAGCTCATTAAAGCAAGAAACCTCAAAGCGAAAGATATCAATGGAAAATCAGGTAAAATAGATTCTAATTAACAAAAAAATACGCCCCATAAATAAAGAAATTCTGAGCAAAGAGAAAATTCTATTTGATCATTCAATAAAGGTTTAATAAAGGTTTAAACTAGGAATATTTATAGGTAAAATATTAAAATAGACTACGGAAAAAAACTTTGACTTTTTCCCTGACCCTAGAAAATATTCTGATTCACTCTAAAAATTATTAGATATTCAAAAAAATGTTTTATTACATTAAAATTTAATCATTTTTTTTTCATTGGAATTAAGATGTTAAAAAATTTCAAATTCAAACCTTTTTGAAATTAAACAATTTTAAAAAAATTGTTACAAAACATAAAGAAATGGATTACTCCGAGTCTTCGACTCGGAGTGATCCATTTCTTTATGTTTTATAATAATTAAAGATGACAGACTGACAAAATCATTAATTTAATATTATAAGAATATTGTTACTGTAATTTCTTCAAAATTATTTTTATCATTTCAATTTAATTAACATTTTCTAGAATTTTTAACTAAAATTCTACTTTAAATCAATAACATCAATTATTATTCAATTAAACTTTTTCAAAAAAAATAATTCTATAAAATTGTTAGTTAAAAGTACGAAAAACAATAATTTAATTCTACGAAAATCAATTATTTAAATACAAAAATAAATAATATTGAATGTTTCTTAATATATAATTTTTACGAAGAATTGTATTAACAACTTTTGAAAATATTTAATTTTTTTTAAGGAATTTAATTAAAATTTTAATGAAATTTATTATATTAAAGAATTTTATAACATTTTTTAAAAATAATTGAAAACTTTTTGAAGAATTGTATTAAATATTTTAAAAATAACTGAATTCCTGAGAAGAATTTAAATAATAATTTTTGAAAACAATTGAATTCATGAGAAGAATTTTATTAAAATTTTTGAAAATAATTGACACCTTGAGAAGGATTTTAAAAAAAATTTTGACAATAATTTAATTCTTGAGAAGAATTTCCCAATCTATTTATAAAGATAATTTAATTCTTGATGAGAATTTTTAAAAAATTGTGAAAATAATTTAATTTTTGCGAAGTATTTTATTACTGCAAACATTTTTTAAAAATAACACAGGACCACAAAAGTTTTTTTAAAGAAAGTATTGACCGGACCATGTTTTTTATATGTTTTTTGGATCCAATATGGCTGACGTATTTTTAAAAAATTTATTAGATTTATTCGAAATTTGTTACCTGGGGGTTTATGGGGTCGCTGAATACGAATTTCACCTTAGTTTTAAAAAATCCAAAATGGCGGATCCAATATGGCTGACGAATTATTAAAAAATTTATTAGTTTTTGAATTTTTGAAAACTAAGGTGAAATTCGTATTCAGCGACCCCGAAAACCCCCCGAGTATAACGTTTCAGGTAAATCCAATAATTTTTTTAAAAATTGATCAGCCATATTGGATCCGCCATTTTGAATTTTTGAAAACTAAGGTGAAATTCGTATTTAGCAACCCCAAAAACCCCCGAGTAACGAGATTCAGGCGAATTGGGTGAATTTTAAAAAAATCGACGCCATATTGGATCCGCCATCTTAAATTTTGAATATTTACGAGTTTCTTTGATTGTTTAACATTATATAATATTTTTTTAGTGTTTAAAGTTGTTTTTTAATAGAATCTTCTGTTAATTTTTATTTAAATCTTGTTTACAGTAAGTTTTTTTCGAATTTTATTAATTTGTGAAGAAACTTGACGTGATGGCGGAAAACTGAGTTCGGATTCGAATTTAGTGACCCAAAAAACATATAATAAACATAGTCCGATCAATACTTTCTTTAAAAAAATTTTGTGGCCCTGTGTAATTAATTTTCTACGACGAATTAAATGTTATTTATGAAAATATTTGTATTATTGCAACGAATTTTATTGTTTTATTGAATAATTGAATGTTTCTTAAAATTTAATTTTAACGAAGAATTGTATGAACAACTTTTGAAAATAATATTTAATTTCTTTTAAGGAATTTAATAAAAATTTTAATGAAATTTATTATATTAAAGAATTTTATAACAATTTTTGAAAATAATTGAAAACTTTTTGACAATAATTTAATTCTTGAGAATTGAATTGAATTCTTGTGATGAATATTGATATTTATCAAAATAATTGAATTTTGAAAAAAATTTTTATTAAAATTCCTTAGAATAATTAATTTTATCGGAAGAATTTATGCGATTTTGTTATTTATCAAGCTTATTGAATTCTTTTGCAAAATTACTTAAAAATTTTTGAAAATAATTGATTTTCTGCGACGAATTAAATGTTATTTATGAAAATATTTCAATTATTACAACAAATTTTATTATTTTATTGAATAATTGAATGTTTCTTAAAATTGAATTCATTTCTCAAGTTTTAATAAAATTTTTATAAATAATTGCATTTTTCAAGGAATTTATTTAAAATTTTACTAAAAATATTTGAAATTCTGCAATGAAAATAATTGAATTCGCAAATGAAATTTTATTATTTATGAAAATAATTGAATCTTTTCGTAGAATTGTATTAGCAAGTTTTTTCTATAATTAAATCTGTTGATAAATTTGATGAAAATAGTAAATATTTAAAAACATTGAATTGCGAAAAACGTTTAAAAATAATTGAAATGTTGTGAAGAATTTTATTCAAATTTTTGAAAATAATTGAATTTTTGGCGAAAAATTTAGCTATTTATTTAAAAATAATTGTATTCTTGACGAGATATTCATTAAAATTTCTAAAAATAATTAAATTCCTGCAAAGTATTTTTTAAAATTTTGTTTAAATAATTGAAATTTTGCCAAGAATTTAATTAAAATTTTTGACAATAATTGAATTCTTGAGAAGAATTTGAATATTTATCAAAATAAGTGAATTTAGAAAAGAATTTCATTAAAAATCCTTAAAATAATTGATTTTATGGGGAGAATTTTATTGGTTATCAAGATAATTGAATTCTTTTGCAGAATTACTTAAAAATTGTTATTTACAAGCCAACCAAAGTCGTGTAGGTCTAGAGTATTTAAAATTATGTCAAAAGTTTCCATGTACTTCAATTTACATCTGAAAAGAAACTTGTGACTTATTTCTAAAGTATTTTAATTGAATAATTTTCAGATCCATATGTAAAAGTGTGGCTGTATGTTGCCGAAAAGAAAATCGAGAAGAAGAAAACGCCAATATTTAAGTGCACATTGAATCCTGTATTCAACGAGACGTTTAACTTTGATCTCACATGGGACAAATTTAGGGATTGTTATCTAGATGTTATGGTTATGGATTTTGACAACATCGGCCGGAACGAACTCATAGGCCACATAATATTAGGAGGTAGGTTTATATTTTATAAACACAACATTTAATTTATATAATAATTAATTCATATTCGAACAAAAGTCTCTTGCGAATTTCCGACATGACACAAATATTAATACGCAAATAAATTGGTATCTAATTTTTAATTACAAATACAGAAAATAGTGAATAATTTTTAACTATCAGTTTTCTATGAATCAATATAGAATATTTTTTTCTCTGAAATATTTATCATTTTGATATTTTCTTCTTTAGAATTTATGGAAAAATATTTTTGCAAAAAACTTTTAACTTGAATTATAAAGCAGGGGAATAAATTGATTTTTGAGAAAACTGTTTTTCTTTATGAATAGTGCTTTTATGGTTGAAAATTTGAAATTGACAAGGCTAATTTTTTTTCTTTTTTTTTACTTGCTGGGAGATCAAATTTAATTGCGTTAAAGTTACGATGTAATTACTTGTTATAAAGGATTCCATTATAATAATTAACACCGCTACAAGAATGAACTTGTTCTACCAAATAGTCGATAATAATGGTATTTCCTAGGCACGAGGCTTTTTGGTATGCACATGCATACTGGAAATACTGGACAGTATTCGAGACAAGTAACACAATTGTGGTTTTCAATGCGGACACGTAGATCGAATGTACTAAAGTTTTCTCAGTAATTATGATATTATTTTAATTATATAGGAAAAAAAGTAAACTAAAATATGAAATAATAAATTAAAATTTTAGTGTTATTGAACAAAAAAATGTCGTAATGTAACATATTAAAATATTAATGAAACATTTCTGTTTTTTCCTCTTTAATTAACTGTTATGTTTGAAAGCTGTAAATACTTTTTAATATTTAAAGAGTTTTTACAAAAATCGCAAAAATAATCCGCGTGCGATAATAAAGCTTTTATTTTGTCTAAAATTACTTATGATGTGTCTGCTTATTATCCCATAAAACTTTCAAAATTTTAAAATAATCCTCATAATTAAAAAGAATTATTTTCTTTTACTAAATAAAATTTAATTATTTATTTAATTATAAATAATTTATTTAATTATTTATTTCACTAAATAAAATAAAATGTTCTTATTCAGCAATTTTTGTTGTAGGTAAAAACGGAAGTGGTGTATCCGAGACGAAGCATTGGCAGGAAATGATTACGAAACCAAAGCAAACCGTCACATTGTGGCATCGTCTGAAACCGGAATAAACTAAAAACTTCCACTTCGAGTTTTACTTTCTTTCCATGTTCTCGACTCGAATTCTAATACGAACTATCGACATGAGAATCATATACTCGCTCTCCAGAGTGTCATCCATCAAAAAAAAGAATCCAGCAAGTTTCTGCTTTGAAGAAAAAAAAAAAAAAAAAGTCAGAGGTGGATAATGGATGCATGATAATGAAGACAAAAATGGAAGAAGCGAGAAAAATAAGAAACGAAAGAAATAAGAGAGAGTAATGAGGAAAAAAGAATGAAGAATAGAAAAAAAAAGGTTTATTGAAAACAAAAGAAGAAAAGCGGGCAACGATCTCTGAAACAATGGTGGAGAGAAAAATAAAATCGCGCACTGTTCATTCTTTCGAATAATCTCATTCATCGTTTTTCAGTCGTCATATATACAATGCAAGAAGTCAACTGCTGACTTACTAAAAAATTCACAAAAAGAAAAAACCCAGTGCCAGACGTTATAAAAATCAACCATCAGAATCTCTTAATTTTTCGCGAAGAGAAATATTCTGCGCCCTGACAGCAGTCAATAAAAATCCCTTTTTGAAAAAGAAAAAAAAAATTATTCAATTTTGTTAAGACTCAATTCTAAAAAAAAATTGGAATATTTCTCTCCGCGAGAATTAAATCAGCATCGTAACTAATTAAGCAATTGACTAATTTTTTAGCTCTGTAATAAATGGAGAAGTCTTGTAATTATAGAAAGTATTAAGGGACATATATATATATTAATTGTGAGGCGATAGAAGCTTTTGCGACTGGTACCACACTGACAGCATCGACCGTTATTTTCTACGGACGATAGAAGTCTAGTATTACTAAAAAAAAATAATAATTACTCTATAGAAATCATCCCCATTATTATAAATCTCGAAATCTAAAATATTCCAAAGGACAAAAAAAACTCGATATCATTTTTGAATTTATACTAGTTGAGACGACACACGTGTGCAAATTTAGATCATATAACTCGAAGGATTCTTGTTTACCTGAAAATGATGTTTTGAAACTAATACAACTTTAGTTTGCAAGAAACATTAGTTCATTGTTAATTCACCTAGTTTCTTCAAAAGTAAAAAGTTTCATTGTGTGATAAATTTCATAGTCATTTTCGTTTCCTTTATATATTCTCAGCTTGCAGACAACTTTTTGTTAAATATTCTTGAAAATTTTATCTTTTAATGAAAGCATGGGACTTTATTTTTTATTTTCTGGAAATTCTAACAAAAACTATTTAATGTTTTATTTTGCAAGATTTGAAAATTATGTTGATAAATCAAAATTAATTCTTCTTGACTTTGAATTTTTTGAAATCATAAAATCTATTTTTAATTATTATAAGATACCACACTATATCTCTTCAAATTAAAAAAAATCCGTTTAATCATTTTTAGAAATAATATTGAAAATTCTCAGGTAATGACTAAAGAAAATATTTTGTACGAGGAACAAAATGTTTTGTTGACAATTGCGTACAATACAGTTAAACACTTTACAAGAAGTATTAATTACTAATATTATTATTAATATTATCACAATTATTATTATTATTATTATTATTATTATTATTATTATTATTATTATTATTATTATTATTATTTATTTATTTAAAAAAATATATTATTTATTAAAAAAAAATATTATTTATAACTTATAAATTTATTTACAGAGTACTTAAATTTGTCTTTAATTGTAATTATTGCACACATTTAATCAGTTTTTGAAACATATATCAATAATACTAAAACATTCTGTTCAAGCAACAAAAGAAACGTTTGATACAAAAATATACAAAAGTATTAAAAATCGTAGACTTTTTTTTCTTCTTTTAATAATAAGACTTGAAAGAATTCGAAAAAAATTATTTTATATATTTTAAATTTCTAGAAATAAATCTGAGAATTTTTAATGCCGCGTATTTTAAAATTACGCACACTTTTTTTTAAGAGTACTCTTTTTTAAAAAGAGTCAAGATTTTTTTTTTGTTTTAGCACTGATTTTATTTTTAATCTTAGTTGCAATAACTTTATTTGAAAATCATTTTTATATGAAGAAAAATTTCTAAAAATTAGTCATAAAAAATATAATTTTTCAAGGTTCAAAAATGCAAATGATTGTCTCATTAGGAAAAAAAAAGCAAACTGAACTAGTGAAGCTTCAAAAATTGATATCTTCAATTTACTCTTATCTTTTCTTGTTAGCCTACATAAAGTGAAGAAAAAAGAAAATAATATCCTAATTTTTTGGATAAATTTTTTGATCGCCAGGTGTAAAAAATCACGTTCGAATTTCCAACTGTCGTGAGTTGCAAAGAAAACGTGTGTGTGACACATAAAGGGAAATAAAAGCGACGGGAATTTTTATTGAAAGTCGCTGATCGTCAAATCAGAGGGCTTTTAATTTATAAAAAAGAAAAAACAAGAAAAGCTAATATAAAAAAGCTCAAATTTAATTGAAAAAAAAATCCAATATTTACAATAAATTTTAATAGCTAAAAAGAATTTAAATAGCTAAAAAAATTTCAATAATTATTTAAGATTAAAAAAAAACAAATTTCAATATTGTAATAAATGTAAATAATAAAAAACAATTTAAATAGTTGCAGAAAATTCGAATAGCTACCAGAAAAAAAATAAAAATGTTAAAAAGCAAGAGTAACTGAAAAGAAGGATTTTTTAAAAATAGAAAAATTGAATTTTGAAAGCCTTCAGATATAAACGATCATCAAAACTGTTCTGATACGAAATAATGATTATTTATTAGCAAAAAGAAAAGAAAATGATGAAAAAGTAAAGATATTTTTGACGGAACTTTTGTATTTGATGAACCAAAGAAAAAAAAGTGAATAAAACAAAAAAAAAAAAAATACAAACAAAATGCGAGAAATTTTTTCAAAAAATTTCAAGTAATCAATTGTGATCGGTGTACCTTATTAATACATTAAAATTAAATTTTTAATTATTTTAATTATTATTATGATTATTATTATAATTATATACTGGTAGTCTGCTGTTGTTAACAATAAAATTAGCGCATCCGGGGGGAAGTAACTCTCGGAAAATAATATCGTTTCTTCGCTTCTGCGAGTGACTGAAGACTTAACTTATGTAAAGAGAAACGAATTGCTAATTTTCAACTTACGAAAATATTTAAAAAAATTAATTATATATTTTTAGTGTATTATAAATTGACTGTGGAACTTATTTTATTTTAGAAAAAAAGATTTTTTTTAAACATTAAACATTATTAACATTTAACATTTAACATTGACTGCAAAACTTATTTTATTTTAGAAAAAAGATTTTTTTAAACATTTAACATTTAAAATTTAACATTTAACATTATTAACATTTAACATTGATTGTAGAACTTATTTTATTTTAGAAAAAGAAATTTTTTTTAAACATTTAACATTTAACTTTTAACATTTAACATTTAACATTTAACATTTAACATTTAACATTGACTGCAAAACTTATTTTATTTTAGAAAAAAAATTTTTTATAAACATTTAACATTATTAGCATTTAACATTTAACACTGACTGTAGAAATTATTTTATTTTAGAAAAAAAGATTTTTTTTAAACATTTAACATTTAAGAATTAACATTTAACATTTAACATTTAACATTTAACATTAACTGTAGAACTTATTTTATTAAAAAAAATTTTATTAAAATATTTAACATTATTAACTTTTAACATTCATTGTAGAACTCATTTTATTTTAGAAACAATTTTTTTTTAAATATTTAACATTTAACATTGACTGTAAAAATTGTTATTTTAGAAAAAAAGATTTTTTTAAATCATTTAACATTATTAGCATTTAACATTTAACATTTAACGTTTAACATTGATTGTAGAACTTATTTTATTTTAGAAAAATTTTTTTTTCTTAAACATTTAATATTATTAGCATTTAACATTATTGTCGAGTGGAGTGCTTTCATTTTAATTTGGTTACACTTCGAATTTGTCTTCCACTTTAATTTTGACTTTGCCACTAGTTTTCAGCGAAAAAAAATTGTACAATTAGTCAAAGTCAAAATCAAAGTCAAAATTAAATTTTAAAACAAAGGCAAAGTCAAAATGAAATCGCACTTCTTGATAAAAAAAAGAAAATATCGAATAAACATTTTTTTAAAATTGTAAAAAACTTTTTTTAATAAATAAAATAATTTTTCTATTTTGAAGAAAGAGCAATTCGTTTCTACTTTAAACCATTAAAAAATTAAATTGGATAAATTGTTAAAAAAAAAATTGATTCCCTTAGCATATTATCCCATCACGTTGCGATAGAAGTCATCATCTAATTAAAAGAAAAAGCTTTAATAAAAAGCGTCTGGCATTCAGATAAAATTTAACAAACTTGGCAATACTTGTCGTTCTCGACACTATTTATTTTTATCACAAGCGTGCGTATTTTTATTATTAAGTGTTATCGTTGAATAAAATGAAAAAAAAAGTTGCAAAAAACCTTCTTATATTAACTGCAGCAGAGTCCTACTGTGTACCGTATTGCTAAACCAAAAAAAAAAGGGGAAATGTACTGTAGCATTTAGAGTGTAAATTAATTATAGTCTACGATATAAAAAAAATACGAGTAAATGGTTATATATGAGCATATATATGAAAAATACATATATATGTGATATAATGATAATATTGCGTAGCACTAAAAAAAATTAGATAATGTTTGTATGTTGTAGCCTGTAAATACACCGTTTGCACCCGATTTGTTTGACGTGCGTTGAGGATTCAAACTCTTTCATAAAAAAAAAAATCATTTAACGAGCTTGGTGTATTCTTTGGCCATTCAAAAACCAAAAAACAAAAAAAAACGAGGTTCCATTGTATAATAATATTTTATTGCGCACATTTATCGTACAAATTGTATACATCTGCCAGTTACTTACTTCGCAGGACGATCTGTTAATAATTTTAAATATTTATCCCTCGATGAGAAAAAAAAATCTATGTCGTCGTTAAAGTAATTAGAGAATATAATCAAGTTTCCATTGGAGAAAAATATACTTTTATCTATTATATATATATATGGTTCGTAATGTACTTTTTGTTCTGGATTTCAAAATTTACATTTTATTAAAATTTTAATGTAGATAATTAGATATATATTCGCTGATGAGAAAAAAATTTGTTGTCTTTGCCGCAAAGTATTTTATTGTCGTATTTTTTCAAATAAAACCATCTTTACTGAAATAAAAAAATTTATCAAATCCTTCTTTTTAATTAAATTTTGCTTTCGGCAACAAAAATAACCACATCGGAGTGGTTTAGAAGAAAATTTTGAAAAAAAATGGGAGTGAAAACCTCAAAATCAAAAAATTTAGTATATTTTTGATTTTGGAGTGGTTTCTAATTTTTAAGCCTCGGATATTACTTTTTTGACTTTTTTCAAAAATTGCGATTTTTTCAACTAATCTTCCAAATTTTTAACACAAAAGAAAAAACCACATTTTTGGTATAAAATTTTTAACACTTTAGAGAAAAAAAACATGTTTCTACATTTTTTTTTTATAAAAATAAATGCCAGGCGATTTTAGGACCCGGGATCGTGTTCAGAGGACAAAAATTCATTAAAAACCACTACCATATCAATTTTAACAAAAAAGAAAATTTTCAGGGTCTTTACCCCCACTTTTTTCAAAATTGAAAATTTTGGGACAAATCGTGTTTAGCAGACAAAGATACATTATAAAGCATTCCGATATCAATGAATTGAAAAAAAATCGATTTTAACAAGTCTGTGTTATTGAAGTAAAGAAATATTTTGTGGATAAAAAATTTTTTACGCATTTTTTTTTCAAACTTTTATTGTGAAAAATATTTTACTACGACATATAATTGTTACGAGGTTAATTAAATTTCTCGGCGTATTCTAAAAAAAATATTTGGTTATTTTAATTATATTTTATATATTGAGAGGTCAAAACTAAAAGGTTTTGACTTTTTAGTTATTTTGACCAAAAATTCAAGCCTCAGAAAAAATAATTTTTCATGAAAAAATGTTCTCTTCTGTATATATGAGAATATTTTGAAGATATTTTATTATATTATAAGATATTTTATTAAATAAAAATTATAAAGAAAATAAAAAAAAATTCAAAATTTTAGGCAGAAAATTTTTTCTTGTCAGAGTAAAATATTTTTTACAAAATTCGGATATAATTCTCAAATTTTTAATGAGAAATATTGGTCAAAATTTTGGTTTTA